CCTTCTAAGCCAAAGCCCGGACGGCCTGCTGGCTTCCACGTGTGCTCTTGGAACCAGCTGCCTTACAAGGAAACAGGCTGGATCACTGAGACGAGAGAGGACAGGGACACGGAGACAGAGGGAGGAGGGAGGGAAGGCGAGAGATCGGTCCCAGAGGTCCAGCCATCCCTCCCAGTCTGGACGAGGCCATCTTGGATCTGCACCCCAGCCCGGTCATCAGTGAAGGGCCACTGCCTGACTGAACCCACAGGGGGACGGCAGAAAAGCCAAGCGGCCCACCCATGGCTCTGCGAGCTGCTCGGCACAGGGGCCGGTTTGGTGCCGGCTGCTCACCGGCCACTGAAAGGTTAAGCCCTCGGCAGCAGGGCTCCTAAAGACGCCCCGCCGCCTCTCGCCAGTGGGGAGTAAAGCTCAGATGGCCACAAGCCTTCAATTTCCAGACAGTACGGACCAGAGTCCAGAGACGGAATATCGGCACGTAAGTGTCTTTGGAAGCAACTCTTTTTTTTTTTTCATATGGTGCTGGAAATTGAACCAGATATTTTTGTTGTTGTTGTTTTTTTGGTTTTTCTCCGGTACCTGGAACCGAACTCACGACCTTGTGCTTGCCAGGCAGGCGCTTTGCCGCTGAGCTAAATCCCCAGCCCCTGAACCAGATATTATTTCCCGCTTGCCCATGCCAGGCAAGCACTCTACCACCCAGCCACACCCCCAGCTCAGAGAAGGGACTTCTCAGTTGAACCAGACAGCACTTACTGGCCACCACACCATGTCTCCTCCAGCCAGGAAGTAGCCTTTCACCGTGTCTCTCTTGGTCTTCACGGTGGACTGAAATGAAGACAGTGGGCGAGGGTGAGTGTGAGCGATCGGAGGCATCCCCAAAGGGCTTAGGAGAGTGATCGTAAAGTACAGGTCCAGTGAGCTGGACCCGGAGGTCAGATATATTTTCTTTATCTATAGGTTTTAGGAGAATTTTAACATGACTGCCTTTAAATGAGACATAAACTGTTCTGGCCAGTGGAGGCGCTACCATTCCCTGCTTCACACATTTGTGATAACCTCTGTTTGTGCCTGGATGTCCCCACAAAGCCTCATGCAGTCATGGGGCGGCTTCTAGAGTTTTTGACTGACGCATGGTCCCATGGGGTCACGGGTGTGAGTGCCGCACCCGCCCTGCCCTGGGAGCCTGCATGCAATGGAAGGGAGAGAAAGAAGCTCGCTTGCTGCCGCCGCTCCTCCCTTTTTGCTCTTGCTGCTTTTGCTGTTTTCCTCCGCCATGAGCTGCTGCCCTCTGCCATGTGCCACCCTGCCTCGGAGCCAGCCGAGTATGGACTGAAACCGCCACAGACTGTGAGCTAAATAAACCTCTCCTTCCTTAACTTTGGGCGTCAGGGATTTTGTCCCATCCGCAAGAGAACAGTAACTGAGCTACCTCCTTGGTTTCCCTACATACTTGAGCTTCAGACTCGTGGCTCGTCCAGGGCAGCTGGTGGTGGACGTCACCTACTGAGTGTCTGCTATGTTCCTGATGCTGTGCTAAGATTTTGTAAGCATCAGCTCAGTGTGAGGCTCAGTAACCCCTACCAGAGGCCGAGGCTCACGTCCCCCTGGTCCATTCATGCTTGGATAAAAAAACACCTCAGTAAGTAACTTATAAACACCAGAACTTTATCTCTCACAGCTCTGGAGCTAGGAAGCCCACGACAAGAGCTCTTACAGGCCTGGTGACCGTGAGAGACGTGGTTGGAGTCTCGTGAGCCTTCACACGGTGGGAGGCTGCAAGAGCAAATGCTGGCTGAGTCCCCTGATCTTATCAGACACCCAATTTACACACCAAGCTCCGAGCCTGGTCACCTCCCAGGTGCCTCAGGTCGTGATGCCGTTCTGGTGGTTAAGTTTCAACACTCGGGGAAATGCAAGCAATTCTTAAATACATCATACAAGGTACGGGTGAAAAATGAAGTGAATGTTTAAATTTTTTAAAAAAAATCATTGCAGTAAAAGACACATTGCCGTTGACCTTCCTCACATACCCTCCACACCCCGGCTTCAAACACACTTATCCCAGCATTCTTGCCACTTTCCCAAGCGGATCTGGAAGTTCTAGTCCGTAGCCGCTGTCCTGGCTGCCTTGCTGTCCTGAGTGGATTGAAAACGTCGACGTTGCATTGTCATTGGGAAAGAGCCAGAAGTTACAAGTTGCCAGATCCAGGGAATACCTGGGGGAGAATACGCTGCAGGGTTCTCAAGGGGCTTTCCATGGGATGGCCCATGGCACCACCATCACCATGCTTTTTACCACACTTCCTGAAGACACTCACGAAAGAGCACTTCCAGAACCGCTTCAGCAGTGGCAAGAATAATGGGATTAAGTGTGTTCAGAGCGAGGGGGAATATTTCGAGGAGGACTGGTGATAATGTGTCTTACTAGAACGAATTTTTAAAACAAATTTAAGTATTTTTATCACACCTCATATTACGTATGGGTGTAATACGGCTGTCCAGCCTCATTCAGTATGAGATGTATATCAGCAATCCACTGAGATACTATTTTCATAAGTTTAACAAAAAAGTTTGACAATATGCTGGTGGTGAGGATGTGATAAAAATGGGGTTTGTCTTTCATTGCTGTTTCACATGCTGGTTTGTCCTGTACCTAAGGAGGGTGACTGGACACCAGCTAGCATAAATCCTTTACCCTGATAAACCTACTATAGGATATTTTTCTTATGTTACAGCTACACTCCAAAGTAACGAGTGTAGCCATAAGGGTTGTTTATCACAGCACTGACGGGGGAAAAAGGGGCGGAAAATCCAGATAACCCTCAGCAGGGATTTGGGGAATAAGTTACAAGAACGATCAGAATACTGTGCAACTCTTAAGAAGATGAAGTTTTACAGTGTGTACTGATATGAAAAGATACCTAAGAGACCCCTAAGTGAAAACTCTGAAGAAAAAAAAGGTTATTTTAATCTGCAAAATAGGTGTAGTGGGCTGGGGATATAGCTCAGTGGCACAAGCTCCTGCCTGGCAAGCGCAAGGTCTTGAGTTCGAATTCTGGTACCTTACAGGATGTAACAGAAGTGATGCTTAACCAGTGCCTGTCGTATAGTCAACACCTGAAGTATTTTTTAATTGTAAAATCTGATTATCCTATGGTCTTGTGCTAGTTTTCTCTTCTCCATCAGTATCTTATCTCCAAAATGGTGTGGTTACCTCTGGACTTGTATCTACCCTCCGCAGCCTGGCTTACCCATAGTCCAACAACCAGGACAAAGAGGAAGTATAAAACCAGCACAGCGATGTCACCGGGCTCCAAGTTCTTCTGGGGAAAAGGCTCCAGGGCATCCGACTGTGGAGGCCGAGGACTGCTGCCGCTCTCCATGGTCCTGAACCGGCCCTCTCGGTCCTGGGAAGGCAAACACACGTCAGAGAACGGATGCCGGAATCGTTCTTCTCGTCCAGCTGTAGCTGCTTCTCCAGGAACCTGAAAAGGAGGACCCCATGCTACGGTGTGTGATGGACAGACCTTTAGGAAGACCCGTCCATCCATCCATTCACTCACTCACTCATTCAACAAATATTTACAATGAAATCACAGTTCATGCTTACTTTGTTGTTGGGTTTTGTTTCTGGTTTTTTTTTTTTTTTTTTTTTTTTTTTTT